CGATTCAATAACATCCCAGTGGTTTCATTATTTTTATTTTTCATGGTTTCTAAAATTATTTCCACAATTAACCCTTTTCCACCATCCCCTAGCTGCGAACCCCTAAATTGATTCAATATTGGTGTAGTATTATCTCAATATTGATATCCAAATACTTTCCCTTTGAAGTACTGGCACAGTATTCTCAGCCAAAGTATTGGCACAGTATTTATGCCAAAAGGAAAGATGGTGTACACTTTTAACATTGGCTCAATATTTAACCAATATTGGCCCAATGTTTGCATAAATACCAAAACAATATTGTTTAAATATTGGCTAAATATTCCTGTCTTATCTGGGATATCTTAAAACACTACTACGACCAGTGTTTTGAGGTAATTGCACTGAGCTTTAAATTCTTATTGTATTTTCATTTAGTGCTAAATATCCATCATAGTTAGCGGTGGTAGACCTTCGTGTTAGAATAACTCTCACTTACGATGCATTTCATATTGAAAAATGATTCTGTAAAAGTATAAATAATTATCCTCGAGAAAGTGCTAAGGAATGGACTGAAAATGAAGCACAGATATGAATACGGTGTCTGCAATGAAGACTTGAGCAAATTTTATATTGTTTCATCTGAGAGTGTCTCAAAAATTGATTTCGCGGTATTTCTCATGATTTTTTTCTGAAATGGGAAATATTATACAAATAGATTTAAAAGTCAGAAAATACACCGCACAAGTCGTCACTTGCGGCGGCAATTCCAATTTAAACACATGTACTAGCTTAGATCATTTTTTATGTTTCATCCAATTATTGCGTAACTTATGAAGCAAGGTTATTCTCGTGTTCAGTTCACTCGTTAGTAGCCACTTAAACACAAAATTCATTAAATTTCAGACATCTGCAAATACTTCATCGTTCATATAGGATAGGAGGAGTATCCTTCAAGCAGGGTTTCCTGTTCCAGGGTTTCTGCAGGGGTAAACGGGGTATAGGGTTTTATATCCTGAAAATTCTATAGAAATCACAACTGATTCCTGAGTAATTGAAGGTAGAACATCTCTGGCCAGTTTCAACTTCTGACAGCTACTTTTTTAATACCTTAAATGTTAGGAATTGCTTGGAAAATTTTATTTTTCATGATGAATCGGAACCGTTTTCAGCAAACAAACATAATCATTACTACTGCACCTTACAGGACATCGATAATTTCGTATAAGACGTGAAAGTCAAATTAATAAGGCTTGCAGAAGTCCCAAATTTTTGGAGACTGGATTTTCCATAAAATAAAAAAAATCAAATTAACATTAAACTAAAGAGCGCGTTGAATGGTTACAATTATTTTAGGGGTATTATTATTTCATTATCTTCCTATATGAGAAAGCAATGAACATTAAATATCGGCTCTCTGAACGGATAATCGAAAATTGAGTGTTAGAGGAAGAGAAAATTGAAATATTGAAAATTTAAAAATCGTTATAACGATTCAATGTTTCAAAAAAAAAATAAATAAAAAATAAAAACAAACATCGTGCATTTTTTCGACAATACTGAATCCCTTTTTCAGGCAATTCTCCTCAATTAAGACTGGACTTTGTTTTTGAAGATCCAAGTTAAGGGGGAAGAATCTCTGCCGCTCTGCAGAGCAGCAGAGCAGTGGCGTAACGGGCGCCCCCGCAGACCCTGCTATGCAGGGGGGCCCAGGCGCCTAGGGGGCCCACGGCCGCCGGAATTTTTTTTTTTCTCTCTCTCTTTTTGATGCTTAGCTTTGGTTTCAAACTTTGGGCCTTTACTTACCGAGATGGGGCTTCTTCCTCTGATTTTTATTGTTAGCACGGAGTATTTTATACTTCTTTCGGACTGTTCCTAACTTTTTGTTTGCTGGAGGGCCCCTGCCTTGCAATGTCTACTCAGTGATTACTAAACATTTTTTCTTTTTTGTCACTTTTCGTAATTCGGGCTTTGGGAGATCCAAGAACGTAAAGGGCCCCAAGGCTCTCGGGGGCCCTTTGATTCTTGGGCCTACGCCCCTCTGTAGATCCTTGGGCCTGGGCTGGGCCCCTGCCAGGATCCCTTTAGATCCTTGATCCTTTAGGGGCCCCATTTAATCGGGTAAGGGATCCGGGACGGTGAGAGGTGAGGCATTCCAAGTCCGTGATTTGACATGTCTCGGGCAAAAAAATGGGAAGGGGCGGGAGGGGGGGAATAATTTTGGAATTTTATCGACATGGGGGGGGGGCTAGAAAAAATTTTGCGGGAAGGCCCAGCGGAAGTCCGTTACGCCACTGCAGCAGAGCAATGATATTAATAATTATGACGTAAAAGTTAAAGTCAATTAAGGTCGAGGCTCGCGAAAGCTTTAATGGACCAGAAAGCGTGCAGAGTACGAAATCAAGAAAAAATTACATGTTTCCTTATCGAAATTTTATGTAAAATACGACAGCCGCATCAACATTTTCAATTTTAACAGTTTGGTTAGAAATAACGGTTTTTGAATATTCAAAACATGCAGCAAATATAAAAGTAAAATAATAAAAAAAAGATTTCTTACAACTATCATGCTGCCATTTTCTTCTTCTCTTTTTTTTGGCTTTTATTTATTTTACTATTTGAAAGGCTTCGAGGTAGTGTGAATAAAGCAAAAAAATGGCAGCATGAAAGTCGTAAAAAATATTGCTTTTATTATTTTTATTTTTGGTTTTTTAATACGTTATTTTACACCTCTCGTGCACCAAAAAAAAAAATGAAATCGACTCGTGTCAAATCGAGACTTTAAGTAATATCTGTATATTTTGCGGTGAAAGCATTTTCTTTTGCACATTTTTGAAAACAATAAAGATATCTTGCATCAGGAGACAAGGTCACTGGAAGTGAAACCAAACTCTAGTTATTTGTTTAACTTATGAGGAGGGTTGAACTTACGTATGTTTACAATATAAACCATACGAACTTTTATTTCTCAATTATGATTTAATTTTGAAATTTTTCATTATGTTCAATGACTTTTGCGTAAAGTTAATAATGGAAGGAAATTTGTGCTGTTCCTGTCTAAAAGTTTATCAACATAGCAATTAGAAGATCTCAAGCTAATGAGAGCTTTTCTTAATTTTTACATCAATATTTGAACAATCTACGATATCAAATTAAATTCAAGGTGCAAGCAGGCCCGCCACATCCCATCTCGGGCCCTGGTACCAATTTTCTGGCCCGGGCCCCTAGCACAGGGAGGGGGAGGGGGTTCCGGAGGGGCCTCCCCCGGGAAATTTTTGAAATTTTAAATCTATTTGGACGCATTATGAAGCTCTTATGATGGAGATTTTCCATCAATTTCTGCAGAATAATTACTCCTTTTTGTTTACTTTCAGCACCAAAAACTTTCGAATTGTTGCATTCAAAACATCTATAAATTTTTTTTTGAGGAGGCAGATGATAATTTTCAATTCTATGGGGAGCCGGGCCCCCCTGGACTCCCCTTTCGTACGTCTATGGCAAGGGAGTTAAGCCATTGAAGTCGAGGATGCCCAGAAAGGAGCCTGTTTGCATCCGACAACGGAAGAAAATGAAACACAGTTACTAAAAATATCATTCTGCATATACTCAAAATCTTGAAAATCTCTAAAAAAGTGAGAAAAGTTTTATAGTGCCCTAGCGTGTTTTTGAAACTTTATTCACCTTTTGCGGAAATTTCAGGGTAATTTTTTCACTTTTTCCTACGAGACAAGGGTTACACATGAATTCGTAGTGGTTTGTCACCTGCGTCACGGGCCCCTCCAGGGCCCGGGCCCCGGTACCAAGGACCCAGTACCCCCCCCCCCCTTGTGGCGGGCCTGGGTGCAAGGCATAATCCACGTAGCTTGTTAACAGTTGTTGAAATGATTCTCACTGATGGTTCAGAGCTTTGAAATCCGTTTAAAAACTTGCCTAAAAATATCTATTTTTCTCTTGAAAAGAAAAAAATACTCATAATACAGAAAATGAATGATTAGACAGTAAAAATGGCTTCAACGCTAATATTTGAAAGAATATGAGATGAGAGAAAATTAAAAGTAATCCTTAGGTATATCTTGAGATTTATTGGATATGGAAGGAAATTTAGAATTTAAAAAATAGTAAAAATTTAAAAACCGTAAGGATTGTTGCCTGAACATTAATTTAGATGGTCTCAACGTAAAATAATTGATTGAAACAATAAATAAATAAGAAATTTATTGGTAATATCAAATATATGGCATGAGATTAAAAGTCCCCAAAGCTTGACTTAAAAGTACCTAATGTAAGTTTTGAAGTTAAATTCATGAATATTATTCAATTCATCAGATTCAGGGTAACAGAACCACAATTTTGGGAGTCAAAGGAAACAGAAGCTCAAGTGTTGGGTTACCAGGAGACAAAATGTATAAAAATATTAAAAGAGTTACCTACAGGAGAAACGAAAATGATTACAATTTGCATTTCAAAGTTAAAATCCCAAGTATATATGTTTTTGACAGTGTGATGGCCGGAAGGTTCAATGAAAATAGAAGACTGATTCTTATCCTTTTTCCCTTTTTCTTTTTACAGAAGTGCATTAATAAAAATAACTAATTACTATAAAAAAATAACCAAAAACTCATGCTAAATTCTGTATGCAGCCCACATTTTCAACCGGAAAACAGCGTCGAATTTCCTCCCAAACTGCAGGAAAATTCAAGGGAAAGACTGAAGGATATTGGAACGGATCCAAATGATGGAGGAGGAAGAGTCCTGGCGCATCGGCTCTCCCTATCAGGAGCCAGCCCATGCGGGAACTCCAGCGGGTCACTGACGAGGAGGAGTGCGCGAGAGGATATGTTGGCGAGGTGAGTCAAAGGAGGGATTTATGCCCGGGAGGGCGGGGCCTCGCGCAGCCAATCCGCGCGGAGAAAATCAATAAACGCACGCCATCATTACAAATTAGTTAAACTACCAGGGCGCGGGGGGAGGGAAGCGCGGGAGATAAACTTAATTTAATACGAGAGGGAGGAATTTTATTTAATATCGCGGCCGTGGTGGGGGACGAAATAGAATCTTAACATATTGGTTATGTTCCAGGCACTTTAGATGCACGCCGTTTCTGACCCGGGAATGTTGTCCGTCCGCCCGCTCGCTTCTCTTCTCTTCTCTCGGTCGCCGCGCCTGTGTTCCGGGGCGCCCTAACCTAAACGCCTCAGTTCTCGCTCGACTGACCGCCCAGTCCAAGGAATAATTCATCGCCTCCGTGTTTTGTGACCGTGTGCTTCGTCTTTCGCCGTTGTGTTATCAGTGACTCTCCGCCGATCGTCCTTGGATACAACGGACTATAGTGAATTCTCGCTCTTGTAATTGAGCTCCGTTTTTTAGTGGCGTGATGCAACCACCCAAGTCAACAATCGTTTACGGATTCTTAACCCTGCCAACAAGGACGAATCTCTGCTTAGAATTGTGATAATTTTGAAGGTGTTAACCTCTCGTGATTAAAAAATTAATTTCTAATACTTAATTTATTTATCAGTGTTTAAATAGCTGGAGGGGTCGAATTCGCATTACCTACTGTGTGAAAACAACTTACCCACCGTTGGGAATATTGTGAAAAATATCTGCTTCAAATTGTACGAAAAGCTGACCCACCGTTGGAAATATTGTGAGAAATATCTGCTTTAATTTCAACTTGAAGCTGAATTAAAGAAGCCGCACGCTTCAACAAAACTACTGTGGGTACAGTGGCGGCAAAAAGTCTGCACGACTGATCTGCAAGTTTACCCCCATGAATGTCCATGTGTACTATGCTTTTAAGCGTGCAGATAGGTGAAGTGATTTCTAGGGGTTGTTGAAATACCCACTCAAGTGGACTTTGACGGACAGTGTTACGGGTGATATTGCGAAGGGTAGTTTCGTAGAATCCGGAAGTGCTCGGGGGATGAAAATGCGTCGGCGGACTCGGGCGGACGCCGGTTGCTCGACCCCCGCTGGGAGCCGCTGGTTTTCGGGCTGATGACGTCATGATGGTTCTGGAAAGCGGAGGGCTGTCGAACCCAGCTTTGAGGTTATACGCCGCGGCCGCCGCCGCCGCCGCCAACAACAACAACAGCAGCGGGAACAATACCGGTGGCGGGCTGCCGTGCTTCCCGTCGTCGCCGATCATGCCGCCGCACTCGCTGTTTCCGCATTTCGCGGCCCGGTTTCCGGTCGGGCTGGCCGGGTTCGTACCCTCGCCGTTCCTCCACCACCACCCGCACCAGTCGCCCAACTCCATCCACCACCCGGCCAGCCTCAGGTTCGGCGCCGCCGGGTTCCTCTCGACCAGGACGCACAACCAGTCCGGGGATCCCGGCTCCCGCAGTGAAATTAGTTCCAATAGTCCCGTTACCTGTAGTAAAAAATCTAGGAGTTTATCCACCAATGCCAGCGATGACAGTGCTTCCGAGGATGCCGCGTCCAAAAAAGGTAAGATTCCACCCCTGTGACCTTAATGCTACGTCCAGGAGCTCCAACATCTTGTCGTGGTCCGTCAAACTGCACCGGGTATACTGAAAAACAAACTCCGGCCGTAGAAGCCGCAAAGATATACCGTCCGCGTGCCGGGCTCAGAGGCCGAAAGTTTTGGGCGCAGCATCCGGAGCAGTCGAAGCTACCATTCCAGCACCCGGAACTTTCGGCCTCCAAGCCCGAAACGGACGGTATGTCTAGAGGGCCCGTAACTTTTTTTCAGTGTAATTGTATCGTTTCCCAGACGAAGGAACGTAACTTCATTCCAAAGTTGTAAAATTGACCAGAACATTTCAATTATTTACAAGAATGTACCAGTGCAACTTTTGTCCACATTTTTGCCCGAGATCAGAAGAAAAGTCAGCGAAATGTTCAGTTAGGGATGCCTAAGATTCTCCCAGTAGCACTATAGAGAAAAAGTCTTTTGGATCCAGAGTCTAGACTTTTAAAAAAGTTTGAAAGAAAAAAAAACTTTTGGTGTAATCGGATTTTGTTTGAATTAAGAGGAAATCTGCTTGAATTAAGAGGCTTGGCTCTCGATTAAAATCAAAGCCCGATCGAATCAAGAACATTTTTTTTTGTCAAATTTTTTATGAGCATAGACTCCATAGGATCCAAGAAACGTTTTTTTCCGGTGAAGTGCAATTTGCGAGGAGACTTTTGGCAACATTGAAATGTAGTTACATCTTTTATTGAGGGAATCGACGATTGGTGAAAATGTAACCTACTCTAGGGTTGAACTTAGAAGGATAATCCCTAGATTTTGGGTAGGTTCCTTGGTGCCTGTCTCACCCTCCCAGGATTTGACACTATAATGCGGACACTTTTTGTCGCCACTCCAAATCTAGGTGATTCCGTTTGACTTACCTCTTCAGGCATGAGTACTAAACCGCTTCTCCTTTGTAGTTTTGCGGATAGTGCGAGTTAAATCAGGTTCGTCGAACTAGTCTTGCGAAAGTTCGACTACTTAATGTTTGAGCGCCAGGACTGTGCCGTTGTTTTACACTGAAGAGAACTTGATGTGAAGGAGCGAAACCAATCGAGGGTAGTGTTTTCCAGTACCGTGATTGTAACCCATCCGTCTTCCTTGATTGTCAAAACTAACACGTGGATCTACCATGCTAAAGCATCTGGTTGACCGTCGAAATCACACTCTTATTCGGCGGAAAACGCTTGATGTGATGAAGTTTCTAAATCCGAACTAAGTCGGTAGTCGGTGTATTCCAGCACCGTGTTTCAAACCCTCAGCAACTGTCACAACACGTGGATTCACCATGCTAATGCATTTGATTACGCGTTGAATCCATTCATACTCTTATTTGGCGGAAATTTAGTTAATCGGCTCCAAGCTGAGAGGGTCCTAGCCTCCTTTGGTGCCTGCGTTAAAAGCACAAATAGGAAGAGACCATCACATTGTCCCAAACTGCCAATTTGTCCACCAATGTTAGTATTCACTCTCAGGGTAGGAACTGCACAATTTTCAGCATGAGTTTCCTCTAACTCATGGATTTTAATTATTACATACATGAGTCGCTTTTATATAGCGCTCTTTGGCGCTGTGCGACACCTAATCGCCACAAAACTCGGTCTTTAATTACTCGGATTTTAAGGAAATCTTCTTGTATATATGACATCATTCATTTGTTTATATCATGCAGTAATTTGATTATTTGTCGCTCGTATTGATTCATGCGCATCAGAAAAGATAATATAATAATTATTGTTGAAATACATAATAATACATCAGATGGTCTACTGTGCATGGTTAGGTTGAGACATGGTTCTTCCCGCTTTATTCATCAATCAATGATGCATATTGAATTTAGACTGATTCCATTAGATAGGCCATTCATAAAACCGGGGAATAAGAATGATGGTATGCACCAATGCGGGGAAAACCTTTATTATGGATGGCTCTCGTGTGATCCTTCGATTCTAAGAGAAACAAAATTATTTAAATGTTTCCAAATTAAGAGGAAATGTTTGGAATTTTACAAGGAACCTGTTTGTTTTGAATGCAAAATTGTGCTGAGAGACTCGAAATAAGGAATTCTCAGAATAGAGGAATTCTTAAATCAACAATTATTTTTTTTATATTTTACGAGAGAATAAGAACCATGCAGAGAGTTTAATCATGCTAAACGAAATTATATGCAAATTCATCAAATCGAAGAGAACTTAGTGCATCAAAGTGTGCTTCACAATGCCTTTTGATTTTTATTTATTAAATTAAAATTCCTTTTGACAGAAATTAAGCCAATTGGTGTATTTATAAGCGAGGCAAAAAAACAGAGGGGGGAGGCTAAATTAAAATTGAAATTAATTGAATGCCTTCATTTTTATTTAATGCTCGATAATGTGTGCTCACAACGACTTATTGTATGAGTGAAAAAATTTAAATTCTACTTCTGAATTATCGTTAAGAATATGAAGTTAAAAATTGCAAGCATACGTCAGGGAAAGTAATGAACACGACTTCAAAACAGATTATGTCTCATTATTCCTCAAACTATGACGGAAGAAAAGAGATGACAGGTAATGGTGACAGTGACATTTTAACAGAGATATTATAAGCATCAGGGGAAGTGAACATACGTTTGTATGACATTTTTTAAGAGTCCGAAGGATTTAAAAAAACAAAAAACGAACAAACGATGCAAGATGAAAAAATCATTGAATCCGTTCTGATTTGTACTCCAGCCACCCGAAATAGGTTTGTGGAAGGTCCTTCATTTCAATCGTTATGCAATGGGAGCTACAGAGGAGTTGAAATATTGGTATAGCTTCTTTTCCTTGCCGTAGACAAAAGTTTACACATTTGATTTTAGCCGCACCTCAAAGAAAATGCTGGCCGGTTATATGTTCTGTGGATAGGTCGTATCTTCACAGTTTTAGAATTATTCCACCCACATAATACTACAGAAACCAACTTCAATAGATCTTTTGGACAAGTCAGCTATCGAGATAGCAAATGCATAAGGTCGAATGGAAAAATATAATGCATATAAATTGATCCTAAATTTTTCATAATGACACCGTTTTTCAAAAGAATACGATGATGATGAGTATTTTGTGGAATTTACAAGATATAATCCTATATGCTGACGATAAATTCTGACAGATTTCGAAATCGAGTTTCTTCCTTCCAAATTTAAGGAGGATAAAACTTCTTTGATTGATTCACCATCAAGTTCGTTGATATTTAAGCCAAAGAAGGATATGCATATGATTCACTTCAAATTCAGTGATCACGAATTTAAAATTTTAGTCATCAATACAACGAAAAATTTTTGAACAGTTTTAGGTGAAAGAATTATTAGATTTTTTGTTTTTATTTTTTTTAAACTTAAGTCATCTATGTGGAGACAGTTGTGCTCACCTTCTTCGTCACACACCGATTTTTCTCATAATTCCATGCTGAAACACATACCTTCCTGTAAGAGCTAACGGACTCTTTTCATGCACTTTCTCATCCATTGAATACTATTTTATGGGATATTTTACTCAAAGTCATTGGCTTTTCCATTCCAACCGTAGCTCGAAATGGTGGATACTTCAATAACCGGGGGATGAACATTTTTTTTTAAAAAAAAAACTACAATATTGAGTATGATTTGGTTATAAATTTGGCAGGTGACAGCCTTGTTAATATTTTGCATTGATTGTTTCAAAGTTCAAAGTTTTCTTGGATTGTTAGTTTGAATGATTTTGGGAATAAAAATGTGAACGGCAGAGCAGGTAGCTTCGCATTTCCATCCCATCCTTCAATTTCGTACAATATCTTATATGCTGCATAAAAATATAAAAAAAAGGTTCTTGAGCCCTATTCTAGAAAATGTACGTCTTTATCCAATCAAAAATGTTTTAATTCAGTCACAATAAAAATACAAACTTTAAATGGAACTTTGAAAAAGAACATCCATAAACTTATAATAATATGTATCGAAAAATTTGCAAAACTTTTGCGTTTTTTCTTTTATAGTACTTAGCCTAATAAATTCAGTGGCTCTGAAGAGACTATTGGCCACACTAAAGGATCAGTACTTCAGTAACAGGAACTTTTAAACTAATTTTTCAAATTATATATTTATTTTTATATATTTATTTTTATTTATTCATTATTTATTTCTTTTCACTTTATTTTGAAGAAGTTGATTCCATAATACTAGAGAGGGTACTCCTGAAACTTGGTCGTTAAACTCAGCTTACAAGTGAAACTAAATAGCAAGGAATGAAAGAATCTAGAGAAAACATTTAATATGCCATGCTTAAACATATTAATAAATATCTGCGCTGTACTTTAAAGTACTTGTACCAGAACCCCAGAACCCCAGAACTCTTTGAGAAGAGTAAAATAACTCTAGACGTTTTGAATATTCTTTTTTTTTCGGGAATGTTTGATTCAACTAACAAATTTGTCGGCCGATATCACCATATGAAATCAAAATTAAAGCACAATGCAGATTATTTTACCCGCCAAAAATTCATTCAGTCATAACCTTGGGCGAAAAACAAAATTTATACACCTTTGAAATTCAATTAAACATTGATCCTAATCATCCAGGAAATGAAGCCGACAATAACACTCAGAGCAATTCAAAATTAACGGCTTAACCGTTCGAAAATAATTAAATAAAACTTTTACGTAACAGATTTGAAATTCTCGCGGCTGAAAATAATTGACCCATCAAAAGCGCAGTTTTATAATTCATTGAGCACGGTATTGCGAGGCTCTTGAATGGCAATAAAGTTAATTGAAAAACATAGTGGCTGATGAAATCGAAACCCTGAATTTTTTTACGAGTGCTCTAAAATCCATTCATAAAAGTGATTTGAGCCTCAATTAAATTTTGAATTGCACCGACCACGATGCAGACATAAAATTTAATGGAGTCTTAATTTTGATAGATTGATTAAATACTTTTTTCGTCAATGAGACTGCCTTTATAGCTTCCGTT